ATAAAAAAAAGTGTGCGAACCAATAGTTCATAGAGACCAGGAGTACATTCTTCAAAATTCACTTTACTGTAACAATCTAAAATGACTTGGCATATCCTGGATCTGTTAAATCAGCATAACTGATCTCTGGCTAATTTTTTCTTCAGGCAAGTGTGCGAATCTGATTCTATTATCTAGATGAGTTGATCTGAGATTATCAAGTGTTATTGCTGTGAAGAAAAGATCTCTCAATTAGTGAAATTCTGATCAGCAATGCATAGATTGGCCGGCGGCAAGAGAGCAATTTAGTGACACTGTCTGATTAACATTCAATTATCAGCCATGTGAGAAAAATGACAAGATTTATAGTAAATTAAACAGTTTGGTAAATGATATGATGCATAAACTTTTCACATTTGTTGTGGGATATTTATAAAAGCTTTTTACTTTCCTTCTTGAGTTAAGTATTTAACACTATTTAGTTTTACGTTTAGAGCAGATTTTCTATGAGACAGTATTCAATTTCTTAATCTTATGGCGTAAGGCATAACTTGCTATTGAAATTCATTCTAAAAAGTCCATATTGCTATCATAATAGTTCATATTACCTAAAGCAAGGGTTCTCAAACTCAGTCCTGGAGGTCTGGGGCCTCATGTACGAACACTTGCGTGGAAATCTTACTAAAACATTGCGTACGCACAAAGCTGTAAATGTGCGTACGCAGAAAAAAATTCAGATGTATGAAACACTGCGTACGCCGAATATCACGCATATTCTTTTGTACATCTGAATGAACGTGAAACTGAGCGCAACATGCACGAGCACAAAACCCCTCCCTGCTTCCTCCCCCGTATGAATATGCTAATGACTATGCTAATGGCAAAACCCAACGAAAAAGCAATGTCAAAAGCAAGCAAAAAGAGAAATTTTGAACAGAATGTGAATTGGAGGTGCTGCTTTCGGAGGTAGACCGGAGAAAAGCGGTGTTATTTGCAAGTTTGTTCTCCGGAATTAACAACAAAAGAAAAAAATAGAGTGGGAGAGTTTAGCTGATGCGGTCAACACAGTTGGGTCTGAACATCGCACTGAGTGCATTAACAAAAGAAATAGTGTGGTTTATATCTGTAAAATGTTGCAGTACGCTTAACAGTCTCAGTGGCGCTACTCGTAAGACGAATGTGATCATGAATTGATACGTTCGAGCATGAACTCGGCTCGAATCCAGCGTCTGATGAACTCATTCTTGTTTTTTCCCCCGCTACATATCAGATTTTGCCAACTATTTATCACGAGAAAGACAAGTAGGAATCATCAATAAGTTCATATTAATAAGCATCATATTTTATTTGCACATTTATTGAATGGAAATGTTTCTGATTCACGCATGCAAATTCATCTTCAGATAGTGTCTTTATAGCAATGTGGGTGCGGTAGATCGCTCAGTTTACATTGGGAAAACAGGCGACTGCTGCAAATTGCGCTTTAATGTTTAGCTGGTCAATTGTATGGTATGGAAACCTTATATACCTGCTGAACCCGTCTTATACAGCTGCCATTGCAAGGCTCAGACACTTTGTAGAGAGGAATTTAACACAACTGCCTCTAGGAGTCGCCAATGGAAATAAAACAGACACGCACAAAAAATGTGCGTACGCCTGCCAGAAAGCTGCCGTGAAGCTGCGCACATTCCCACGTTCAGTTCATTGTTAGTAAATCCAAACGTGAGCGATTCTGAGCGTGAAACCTGGCGTACGCAAAGTTTTTGTGCGTACGCAGCGTTGATACATGAGGCCCCTGGTGTCCTGCAGATTTTAGCTCCAACTTGCCTCAACACACCTGCAAGGATGTTTCTAGAAAGCCTAGTAAGAGCTTGATTAGCTAGCCCTGGTATGTCTGATTGGGGTTGGAGCTCAAATCTACAGGACATCGGACCTCCAGGACCGAGATTTGAGAACCTTTGACCTAAAGTGTCAGGAAAAGGGCTTTTTGAACCCATTGAAAAGATACCATGTCCAGGAGAGTTTTTGTACCTTTAATTATATAACAGTACTTAATTACGTTTAGAATATGTATTAAAATTATTTTACAATATTATTATTACCCCCAATTTTCACTTTCACTTGAAATGACAGTAGGGATGCACGATATATCGTCGGCCATATCGGTATCGGCCGATAAATGCTATTTTTAGGATTATCGTTATCGATCCGATGTCTAAATTCGGCCGATATCTTTAAGCCGATAAATTACGCAATTGTACAGACTTGCGCGCCGCACGCGTGGGCGGAACTTTTTCAGACTTGCCCAGTGCACTATAATGGATCTCTCCTCACACTGTTTATTCCTTCAAAGTCTGTCATTTCTTAATGTGGTATTGCTGTGCATTAATAAGTCAGTAAGTAACCATGTTTCTTATCATTGTAGATGTGTTTAATTGAGTGTCATTGTGTATTTTGCTTTAAATCGCCTCTGGAAAAATATTACATGTGTAAACCTTTCCTGCTCCGTCTCTTTGTTGTGTAGAGATAGCAGGGGATCTTAACTTATTACTCCAGGGCCGAATAATATTAGTTTCGTGGTGAATTGCCTTCTCTTTTAGTTGCAGCCGGTGAATGGACGAGGACACATGTAACTTGGTCCAAAATATTTATTACTTTCCGTGTGGTACAACAAATCAGTCACCTAAAATAGTCTCATTGCCCAAAAACCGCTCCTCTCCCTCTCCCTAGCTCTTCGCTTCACACACACACCCCAAACTGCAGCTGGACCCGCACATTTTACAACACGTGTAAACATAACAGTTGTTTGTAATCTGATTATTTGTTATTATCAACGCGTAGCTTGTCATGTTGTTGATGCAAGATGTATTCAGTTTGATCGAAATATTCATATTGATTTTGACGAGCGCGCGAGCTGTCACCGCGCGCACACACACACTGTAGCACGGGGGAGAGGGGAATCCAGTTATAGAGGCTCTCGACCAGCGGCTCATTCTGTCTTTATATTCAGCTCTGTTAGCTATAAAGACAGCTCAATGCAGGTTTTGTATCAAAATCTGACTCTGATGGCAACTCTGCCTCTACAGTTGAGTAAAACTCAGCGGTTTATCATAAACTTTTCATCGATCATTTCCCCCGCAATTGACAGCAAGAATGAGCTCAGAAGTGTTGTCTGATTGACAAGCAGCAGCTACATGTTTAAAATAATCTTAAACGCCAAATAGGATGAATCTGTGCCGCATTTTCTAAACGTACTGTATATATTTAGCTGTTCGCTTGAACGGTGGCTCTGAACTGTCAAAACACCTCTAAAAAAGGCTTTTTCGGACATGACGTATTTGTACATCACTGTAACACGTTTTATTCAAGAACATTTGAGCTGGTTTCAGTCCTTAGTGCTTTCATTTTCATCTTATTTAAATATATTTAATTTGCTTGTTGATTAAATCCTATTTTGTTATTTAACCTTAATAATTTTATGCAACAGTCAAGTTGCATGTTAATTTGCTATGAAGAAAAGGAAGTAATGTATTTTTTGCATGCTGATTTATGTGAAATCGTGAATATAGGTCTATGATCACCTTGCAATTTTAAAACCTTGCAGTTAAAGCTTTTTTGCTTTGAGTATAGACTATTTAGTTCATAAGAGCAGTTCAATCTTTTATGAAGTTTGCTGTATAAAAATATATCATTTTGAAATATTTATAAATATCGGCCTATACATATCGGCTATCGGCCTCCAAGTCTGAAGAATTATCGGTTATCGGTATCGCCCAAAAAATCCATATCGGTGCATCCCTAAATGACAGTCTAATGTTTTTTGAAGAACTATTCTGGATTGTGTCAAACTGTCAATAATCGAATCCAGTTAATTGAGTAATCTACTTACAAAACAGCACACAAAAATGGCTCAGCACAAACACAAAAACATCCTGCAATACTATTGACAGACACTTATTTCATACTTCTACAACTTGAAATGGAACAAAATTTTCAACATTAAAAGTGCAGTGTGCAGGATTGTGCACTATGAACTAGTCATTGTAGACCAAATGCAAAATACTGGATGAAAATAGTGACTTTTTTTTCCCCCACACGGCCACTTTGACGACAACTTGTCGCGAACACACAGGTTGCCATACTGACTACACCAACAGAAACAAGTATGCCTGACAATCGAGCTTACATTGTAAACTGGTCAGCTAATGTTTACATTTGTAATATTTGTATTGTTTGCAAATGAAAAACCACCTCATGGACTTTTATAACATATGCAATATTTGAGGTTGCTGCTGTCCTCCGGTCACATTTTTAGCCACAACAGTATAAATGGAGACAGCCATAATGACTAAAATAAAATAAAATGTCTTTTCTTCCAAGACAACCACTGGTGTGAAAATATAATTGGGTAAACTGGCAGTGGGCAGAGTTACAGAGATCAAAACAAAGACTTTCTGACACGGAATACACATTTTCAAAGGGGAACAAATGACTGTGGAATTGTTTTTTTTTTTTTTAATAAACAAGTACGTTCACTTAGCATGTTTCATAAATATCTACAAATATATTATAGTATGTTTATGCTTTAAAAGAGTCAAAAACATACATAGAGCACCTTTTATTAAATAGATTGTACGGATATGACTTGTGTTTGAGCAGTTTTCATTGAAGCTCAAGTGTAGCTCAAAAAGCCTGAAAAAAACAAGCAGGATCTATATATAAAGTTATCTGAGACCTCTATCTAAAGCTTGAGTAAACATCTATTGTTAATGTTACAAGCATGAGCTTCATTTAGTAAACTAGTGGATCTGCTGATTTTATCTTCTGTAGAAGTAGCAGAATTTCATGACATTAAAGTTAAATCATTATGTTTTTACTTTATATTTTAGAATTATACGATTGATTCTAATTTAATTTTTAATTTACCTAATTTAATTTTTAATAATGAGAAAAATCAGAAATCAGTAGTTTAGTCAAGATGCAAGTGTCAGTGGAGAAGGGGAATGAAGTGTTCAACTCACACTGTAGACAGCAGAGACAGGCTGTGTTGAGAAGATTCGCTCGTCCAGGGGAGGCGGCACTCGTGGATATCTTGAGGGGAAATTAAGGAAAACTCTGGAGCAGATTGTATTTAAGGCCAAACACAGAAACAAGGTGGGAGAACATACATGATGCATAAAAAAAACTGAGAAATAAGATTGAAAAAAAAATTTGATAAGCAGATCATATTTATCTGCATGCAAATTAACTAATTAGCTTATGGTAGTAAAATATTTACTGTTTTTATTTTTGTCCCAACAAAATAATAGTTTTCAGTCAGGCAGACATGTCTTGGTTTTCTTTTTATAAATATTATTTTTTAAAAGTCCCTTATGCTCACCAAGACTACATTTATTTAACAAAATACACATTAAGCAACAAACTGAAACATTGTATGATTTAAAATTATTTTTTATAACATTTTAAAATATAAATTAATTTACTGAAAATATTTTTACTATGAGTTTTATGTTGACCTCAGACTTTTAAACAGTAGTATATGTAATTTCTTCAAAACAAACATAAATCTATAACATACTGTACACATATAACCTACTGTACATAAAACCTATAGATCTGCAATAAACCAATAAAAAAAATGTACTGGAACCTGAACTGTGCCACTTATCAATTTGTTTATTACTCTCCTTATATCACAAATCATCTATGCAGGAGAAAACTACACCTCAGAATTACGGATGCACAATGTTATTGAAAATTCGGATAAACTGAAAAATAATGAATTTCAATATATAAAAAACACTAAACAGGGCCAATTGAGTTTGTTACAGAGCTCTCAGATGTGAACCACAAATCAAGCCAGCATAAAGTGGTTCCACAACATTCATTCATTCGCTTTTTGGCTTAGTCCCTTTATTAATCAGGAGTCACCATAGCAGAATGAATTGCCAACTTATCCAGCATATGTTTTAAGCAGCGGATGCCCCTGCAGCCCCAAGGTTCCACAACATTAACAAGGAAAATATTGTGCAACAATGATCAGGTTAGAAAGCTTGGTTGTCTAAAAATCACCTAATATTGCCATGGTTTTACTTTAGGAAAAAAACAACCGGAAACTACTGGCAGAAACGCAGGACATTTAAATAGAATTTAAGCATGTTTTAATGTATTGAATTTATTAAATGTGTAAAGTAATAGAGTATGTTGGTTAAAATTTCACATTAGTTCTGTATTTTTATTTGTATTGAATGAATGAATGTTTTTTTATTATTATTAATTTACATCTAGATCTCAGCTCACGCTTCTGCTATTCTCAACTGCAGCTACTGTCAAAAGTGCATTTTTAAGAGACTAAACTTGTTTACCAAATAAAGTGTTGGTGTCACTATCTGTAAAATACAGCAATGAAAACTAAAAAAATGACTTGACTGTATGCGACATACCTTATGTGTAAGCAAAGTCTATGAAGAACTGTAATGCAAAACACATCACTAGACCTAGATGGCTAACCACAAAATCTCTTTTAAGTTTTGAAAGACATTCAACAAGCAATAGGCCAGCCATGTTACAAACACAAGACGTAGCGACACAAACACAAAAGTCAAACATGTTTGGAACATTTACATAAAAAAAAAAAAACAACAGTAAGAATGTTCGATGTTTCATTAGGTATGCGCGAGGATCACAGCCTGAAAGGTGCGGTTATTTTCTTTGTTTTCATAAAACATATTCTGTTCAATAACCAACTACTCCTTTCACCCCTTCATTTAGAGTTGACATTTAACACAAAATGTCTAGACTATAGGTAATTAAAGGGCACCTATTTTACCACTTGTTCAAGATTTAATATAAGTCTTTTGTATCTCCAGAATGTGTCTAAAGTTTCAACTCAAAACATCCATCAGATTATTTATTATACCTTTCAAAACATTGGAATTGTCTGCTCTGAACATAATGTAGCTGTTTTTGGTTGCCTGTGCCTTTAATACTGGTTCTCCCTGCCCACCGGTCCCACGTGCCTATCAAGAGTGTGCCTCAGGGCATACTCACAACTATGTACATTTGACTTGAATCGGGATAAAGCATGCTTGTCCCCTCTCCTGTCTCCCCCGACGGCCTGCACTCACATTACATTCGGGCCTGGGCACGATTAGGTCATCGATGACGCACTGATCAGTAAGAAGCGCTTCCGCTCAGCACAGTGGAGATTTCTTTAGTTATATTGTTAGTGGTTTAATATGCAGTGACACACTGTTAAATATTTCGCCAAACAGATCAGCCACTTTTGACGCTCATAAACAATCATAGTCCTCGTGCTGCAGGAATTAGGAGGTTTGCTGAAAGCGCAGTTGTGGTGCAGTGAGGAGTTTGCATCTGTAATATTCTACGACAGTATGCTTTCATTAAACAGTAAGAATGTTTAATAAATCCAAAAGTCAGGTCTTGCTTTCAGTTTCGGGCATAGGTGCGTTTTGCACTCACACACAAGCGTACTGCACCAAAGCCCAAGTGAACCACGCTCAGAGCACTCACACTTCTCAAACAATCCAGGAAACTGCCATGGGCACGGTTTGGATTGCATAGTGCGAGTAGGCCCTCAGTCTCCGGCTGTGTCAGATAAACAGCACAGTAAAAGATATGTAGCAAGCAGATCTTGTATAAAGTTTGTGAGAAATACCTCAGTAAGAATTTTTACAATGATTATTTTATGTATTTGTTGTGGAGTTAATTCAAGCCTTTCGATGAGTCACACACAATATAGTTACAAAGTTCACACACATAGCAGACACACACACACACACTGCACTCATTTAACTTTGCACTAGTTTTGCACAGCAAATGTGACAGGACACATGTTAATATCCACTGCTGTATGGAAATCTGTCATGTTAATGTACAAAATCAACCTGATTTAATGTCCACAAACCAGAGTTGGTGTGTCTTCTTTTATAAATGTACTAATATGCGGCTGTGGTGATAACGACGATAAAATGCACTGTATTAAAAACGTTTTAAACTTGTAAAAGTTATTCTTGATCAGATTTGATGATGATGATTGATGATCACAGATAGCTCAACAGATCTTTTAATCCCTGCTAGCTTTGCGCAGATTCTGTCTTGTGGATATGATTATGTGTGCTACTACGGAGACATGTTCACGGCTGTCAATCAATTCAGTGGGTGGGGAAACCGAACTCCTAGGTCAAGTTGCGGTCAGCCTCAAAATGGGGGGGGGGGGTCTGGATCCTATTTTATCGTCAGAAAAATTTTAAAAATAAAGACTTATTGTGTTTATATCACCCCAATATGACTGTGGACACACTACACCTACTCACAATTCTGTCCAAAAAGACCATTTTCATCATAGATGCTTTTTAAGATGACTAGTTAAACTAAAAAATAGAACTTATCAGTTAAGTGTTCAGCAGTGTTCAATATATACATGTATAGAGCTGAAGTCAAAATTATTAGCCCTCCTGTGAACTTTTTTTCTCTTTCAAATATTTCCCAAATGATGTTTAACAGAGCATGGCATTTTTCACACTATTTTTTTTTCTTTTACGTTTCATTTCGGCTAGAAAAAAAACATTATTTTTTAGACCATTTTGTAGTCAATATTATTAACCGCCCTTAGCAATACTTTTTAATTGTCTACAAAACAAACCACTGTTATACAATGACATGCCTAATTACCTTAACTTGCCTAATTAACCCTTAAATTGCACTTTACGCTGAATACTAGTATACTGAAACATATCTAGCAAAATATTATGTACTGTCATCATGGCAAAGATAAAAGAAATGAGTTATTAAAACTATTATGTTTAGAAAGGTACTGAAAAAAATCTCTCAGTTAAACAGAAATTGAGCAAAAATATATAGGGGGCCTAATAATTCAGGAGTGCATATATATTAGCCAGTTTACCCAGCTCTAATAAAAAAGAGAGAAATCTGTGCAGCAAGATTCTTGAACACAAGAAGTTGATTGAGTATTAACATGCTGCTGGAGTACAGAGGATGGAGACGTGTCTTCCATCTCCAGCCCAGCAGTTTTGTCTGTACAACCAGGCTATTGTTAAGAGGGTGGGGAAAGCCTTCCTCCTCCACTGCACCACAGGCCCATACACAAGCACAGAGAGAGAGTTCAAACAGAGATAATGTACAGTTTACTGTAAGCAGGATAAAACAACAGCTGTTAGTTACTCATTTTAACTTTCCCTTGGCTCGCTGCCATGAAACTTTCACAGTAACCTCCTGCTCCACAAACACGTCATCCTTTATACAGCCTGAGTTTAAACCGGTTTGTAGGTTACAGATTATTTTTAGTGTAACAGACTCATTTACCAGCATATACATTTGCAATGACACAGCAGTCACAATGTCTTGTTTCCCTCTGTTCACACTGCTTTATATATAGCAAAGGTTTTCTCTGCAATTAAGTGCAATATGGTCATAAAGGGACAGTTCACCCAAAATGAAAATTATCTCACCATTTACTCCCTCATTTGGTTTTAAACTGTGTGTTTCTTTCTTCTGCTGAAAAGAAAAGAAGATATTTCAAAGAATGCTGGTATCCGCACTTCCATAGTAGGAAAAAATACCAAAGAAGTCAATGGGTGCCAGCTCCCAGCATTCTTCCAACTATCTTATTTTATGTTCAACAAAAAAAACTTAAATACAGTTTGAGTGAAGGAGAGTGAAATAAAGACATTTATATTTTTGGGTCAACTGTACCTTTTCATATACAACCTTTTCCTAAATAAGAGTGTTAAATGAGGCTCGGCACACACCGTAAATGTAAAATCTGACATTGACATGAGAAATAAACTGATTAAGTTGATCCCGTATCACAGTTTAGCAAATGATTCTCAGCTATGAAATGTTTGCAAGCAGATTTCTTGGCAACCATGAAGGAAATGAAACCAGTCCACTGAGGACTTTGCCAAGTCATAATCGAAACAGAAATTATTAACACTAAAGCATTTGGGGAATAACCATTAAACTAAAAGGAGAAATAAAGCTATGATTGTTGCTGACTAAATTATGCACCATTAGCAAAATTCTTTCCCTACTTTATTATAACCTCCAGCACAACCAAATCGGTTTAAATGAAAGCATGAAATTGCAAACATCATATGAACATGCTTGTTCATAAAGTTATATTAGAAGCCAGATTTACTACTGAACTTCCCAAAACCTGCAAACCCAAAGTGCAGCTCGTTTTTGAGGTGACCAAGATGCTGGCAGATGGACACTGACAAACACAACATAAAGGTTTGGGTGTTAGACTCAACGAAAAACAAACAAGACTATGAACAAGGAAAAGTATGATAGTTTATCCCTAGAGCAAATCATATAAGCCGAATGTTGTTTACTTTACCATGCCTTACTGTGCGGAAGAGAAACAAGCAGTATATTAAGCTTTCCAAGATCTAAACACAATCTCAATGGTGCTCAGTTATGAGCTATTTTGCTTCATCTTCATTCAGACTAGATGTATTTAATGCATTAAACTGTATTTGTTGATGCAAATACATAAATGCTACCAAACTGTCACTGATCAAAGGTAAAAATAAATAAATAAATAACTGTACATAATATTGAGTTTATTGTTAATATTATATAATAATATTGAGCTCAATATATCAGCAGGAGCCACTTGTACTTATTAAACATTACCTGTATATGTTTTTCTATTGATTCCAAGTTGATCAATTGATCAATCAGAAAAAAAATGTCAGCTACATCTTCAATAGTCTGAGAGTGAGTAAATCAGCAGCAAATTTACATTTTTGGGTGTGAATGGCACTTTCAGTCTCCATTTACTTTCATTTCATGCAAGAAATATGTAATTGAAGTCAATGGTGAATTCCGAGCATTAGCATTACTTTTTCATGAGGCTGAATGTTGATAACTGGTAAGAGCATGTTGTTTATAACATTAAAAGCGCGTATATCAAGACACAATCATTTAATTGACGTTTAAACTCGATGTCACGTCTTTCAAGTGAAAGCTAGCTCATCTTTAAAAATGAAAGCTAGCTTTAGCACACTCAAGCCGGCCGGGCAGGCTCGGGCCAACCCGGTTGTGTTTTGCCAGCTCGACTACGGACAACCACACAAACATTATTGTGTTATTTTTAACCTAATCTACTAGAAGCTTCAGGACTTCAGATACAAAAAGCACAAACCAAACACACACTTCTGTTGGGATGACTCAGTTAGCCGGTAAGTTACAACCCAACACACTCTAACATTACCGCTGTCAAAAAACTAGCAGCCCGCTTGCCCAAACAACAGTTTCGGACTTTATATGCACATCAACTCGAAATGCCCCCTCGAATACCCATGATGTTGCCATGAAACGCTAGCATTAACTTATCCAGGCACACACACTTCACTAACGTAAGGTTTTGAGTCACAACCACAGATGGAGATTTGTGATGGAGTTCAGAAAAGGATACTGTTGAGCCACCGACTGTAGCGGGACTGTAGTGAGGGTGGTCCGCAGTTGGCTCGCGGATAACTGCCCGGTTCCAGGTCCAGTTCCAGCAGCGGCGGCAGCGGCTGGTTTCGGCACCGCTTTCGGCGGCAAACTCATCGCAAATAAAAAAAACTAACGCACGGATTTACAGATATTTACAATAATAAATAAGCTAGCGGCTAAACTGTACACTGGAAAAATATTGCTGGCGACTTATGTCAATACCCGGCTTTATATGAGCAGGTTGCCGGTGTCTGAGCGGATATTAACGCGTGAGCTAACAGGCTAGCTAGCTTATTGATAGAATAGCAGGCTAAAGTTAGCCGGCTAGCGCTTATTGTGGTTTATCTTCATTGCTGAAGGTTGGGGGCTGTTCCCCCTCCCCGGCCGGGGTTTCCGAGGATCTAGTTGGCCTCTTCTTGCCAGGGCGATCTTGACAGGTGTACCCTCTTTGGAAAATGAATAACACTTTGTTTACAACTGCTCTTTGACGAGAGTATCTCCACGGAGTGTGATGATTCCGTTCAACATGGCGCTGTGGCCGCCTCCAGCAGTCCTACTGGACCTACCTTTCGTTTCACTTCGGGTGTTTCCGTAATACTTCGGCGGGTGGAATTTTCAACGAGTGTACACGGAAGTACGGAATGGGCTTCCGGAACTCATAATAACCTACTTGGATTTCAGCCAAATAGATTGTTGTAAACGATGTAACGGCCAAACAAGAGTGCGGCATTAGATAAATTTTGTTTCAAAATGTCACCACTATATTTCTATATAAAATATGTTAACCTTTCAATGTTTATGTGCGCGTTGGAACCGATTTCTGATGTTACAGTGACACCATGTGTCAACAGATGAACATGGCAGTTCGGCTATTGAGAAAAAAAAACTTGGGAGACGATAATGTTTATCATATTGTTAAACAAAAAACAAATGCAAGCACATGTTCAAAATAGTTTTATATTTAAAATTGATAAAAAATAACAAAATTATTACGTGATGTAAGCTTTATCAAATTTATTTGTAGGTTAACTTACTTTAGGAAATGCATGGTTTTGGGCCAGTTGATTACAGAAAGCGTATAATGCATGGGAGTGCTGAATTCCAGAAACATTCATTCATTCATTTTCTTGTCTTGTCATTTCTTGTTTCTTAGTCCCTTTATTAATCTGTGGTCGCCACAGTGGAATGATCCGCCAACTTATCCAGCAAATTTTATCTCTGGGAAACATCCACACACACACTCATACAGTACGGACAATTTAGTCTACCCAGTGCACCTGTACCGCATGTCTTTGGACGGTGGGGGAAACCGGAGCAGCTGGAGGAAACCCACGCGAAGGTAGGGAGAACATGCAAACTCCAGACAGAAACGGCAACTGAGCCGAGGTTCGAACCAGCGACCCAGCGACCTTCTTGCTGTGAGGCGACAGCACTACTACTGCTTCGCCTAAAACCTAAACCTAAACATCCTTCAGCAACGTTGACAGAACGTAATGCTACGAATATGGTCTTTAATAGTGTCCTAAAACAGTGGTTCTCAAAGTGGGGGTCGGGACCCCCTGGGGGGTCGCGGGACAATGACAAGGGGTCGCTTATTGATATCCAAAACTCAAATAAGTTTTATTAAACTATTAGAATTACCATATTTTATTCATAACCGACAGAATATACACTGAAAAAAGTGTTGCATGCAGAACTGTTGCAAATAATTTCTTTGTGTTGAATTTAAACAAACAAATTAGTTTAGTAATGTTCAACTTAATTTGTTTGTTTAAATTCAGCCCAAATAAATTGTTTACCACCTCTTAACATAAAGAAATTGAGTAAATTCAAGGAATCATCTTTGAATAATTTTTTTCAGTGTAGTTAATAGTTGCATTAATGTAACAGCAACATAAAAATAACAATCAGTCATCAGCCTTTAATTTTAAAAGCAAAATGTAATTAAATCCATAAATCACTTTAAAAAACATTATATGGCTAATAGACTATTGCATTTTTGTGTTGTCAATAAGCTCATGTTTATATTTGCCTATAGTTGTGTCTGCAACGTTTACATATTTACAGTACAACCACCTTGAAAAATGGGGGTCGCGAGCCACTGATATGATTATTTTTGGGGTCGCAGCCTAAAAAGTTTGGGAACCCCTGTCCTAAAACATTATCACAAAAACATTACACATAATATGCATAATAAAGTTAAAATTGAATACTCTCTAATCCCTATTTTAAAAACATAAAGATATAGGCTATGAGAAAAAAACGTTCCTTTATACATTCAATAAAATAAAACGCTTCTCAAGTTATCCTAAGGTTTACGTGAATATTTTTTTTATAATTTGAAAAAAAAGAACATACAGAAATTATTTTGTCTAAACTAAACAAATAGATATAATATATTACAATATTTTAATCACTTAATTTTTCAGTAGCTTTTTGTTTCCTCAGCAATAGCACACATAAGAAACACATGCTCATTTGGAATACTAAAAAATTTTTATGTGATATTTCTAAATTATGTATTAATTTAAATTATATATATATACTTGGTCATAATATATAGAAAATTCTTTAAAAATATACAGAATTTCCATTCCTAATCAACATAATGAAATAAAGACCGTTCACACCAAGTAAATTTACTATATTTTCATCCACAATATTATTATATTTGGTTAGAAATAGAATGAATAAAGAGTTACAGTAATTGCCCTTCTGATCAGGCCTTTAGAATGATTTGTATTTAAAAACAAGTTAAATAGTTAAAATCTAACATGTTTGTGTTAGAGTTGAATTACTTTTTTATTTGCTGCATTGTTTAACACTTAGCGAAGATGGGTTATGTGTTCATAAAAGTCAGACAACAATAGACTCTTTGGGGGGGAATCATACAACAAAAAGTGCTGGTGTGCATTAAAAATCATTCATTCATTCATTCATTCATTCATTCATTCATTCATTCATTCATTCATTCATTTTCTTTTCAGTTTAGTCCCTTTATTAATCTGGGGTCGCCACAGCGGAATGGACCACCAACTTATCCAGTATATGTTTTACACAGTGGATGCCCTTGCAGCTGCAACCCATCACTGGGAAACACCCATACACTCTTATTTATACACATACACTTTGTACAATTTACCTAATGTCTTTGGACTTGTGCGGGAAACCGGAGCACCCAGAGGAAACCCATGTTAACAAGGGGAGAACATGCAAACTCCACACAGAAATGCCAACTGACCTAGCCGAGGTTCGAACCAGTGACTTGCTTGCTGTGAGGCGACAGTGCTACCCACTGCTCCACCGTGTATTAAAATGTAATTTTTAAAATAGATCAAAAATGAAAATAATGACCAACGTGAACACAATGTTGCCATCATGAGAAACTCTGGATCATGCAGATAACCTGATCTAACATGAAAACAGAACTATTTTTAAAGGTGCTGAAGAATCTTTGACTTTTAGGAAAAAACTCGAAGGTTTAATTCTACCCACATAAAAAATACTGTAGAAATTATTAGTAAACTATATATTATGAACTTTAATAGTAAAGAATATAACTGCATATAGTAGTATTTTCCAACACTTTGTTAATGAATGCTGCAGCATATTGTAGTTTTTAATACAGTGAAGTGTAGTGTAGTATATTAAGCATTAGAAACCAGAGCAGTATTAGATCATTTGTTTATATTATTTTACTTGTTAGTTGGAAGTTCGCTGGTTCAAGTTCAACTGGGTCAGTTGGTATTTCTGTGTGGAGTTTGCATGTTCTCCCCATGTTTGCGTGGCTTTCCTCCAGGTGCTCCGTTTTCCCCGACAGTCCAAATACATGCCCTATAGGTGAATTGAATAAACTAAATTGTTGTAGTGTTTGTGTGTGAGTGTATAAGTGTTTCCCAGTATTGGGTTGCAGCTGAAAGGGCATCCGCTGTGTTAAACATATGCTGGATAACTTGGTGGTTCATTCTGCTGTGGCGACCCCTGATGAATAAAAGTACTAGCCAAATGGAAATGAATGAATGAATGAATGTTACTGTTCACATGGCTAGGTATGCTGTATCTATCAGTGGGTGTCAGCAGATTGTACACAAACATGAATGAGATTGCCATGGCTTTATTAATGCTTTTAATTGAAATGACAGAATTTCGCTCATGAAATGTCACCAAGCAATAATAAAAGTGACTAAAAATTAAAATCTTTTCTTCAACTGCTAAAAATAGGCCTGCGGAATATCCGCATGACTTTATACGTGTTTAACCCTGGGACATCAAAACCAGATGAGAGCCCCTTTTTGTTGAAGATATAGAAGTTAAATAGTTGCCCGTCCTGAGACTCAAGAGACACAGAGGCAGCGTTGACTTTCAGCTGACACGGATACTCCTTCTCAAATACCAACCTGAAGACCCTGTCCTGTAGATAAGTGAGTTTCAAACTCCTGTACTTCACAGGAACCATGTCATCAACTTGAGGTCCGAACTGCTCGAGAGACAGCACTCCATCTGCATTGGCTTTGATCTCATAGAATGTAATATTACTATAAGTAAAATACCCTACATAGGGAGTAGGGTCTGGAGGAGGAATGAGAACACGGGGTGTATCTCTGAAGGCACTCTCCATGGCAGGAATGATATAGCTGTAGGTTTTGGCCACAAGGTCCTCATCTACAGGTTTGCTTCCAGCCATTAGGATGACCAATCCGAGCTTCAAGCGAGGAACAAGGGAAATCGAAGCTGAATATCCATCCAGATCTCCATCTTTGCGTATAACATCATAACCCAACTGTTCATTTACCTCCCAAGGTGTTCCCGTTTGATTGGCAAAGTAACTGTTCTCACATCGAAACAATGGAGTCAACATGGTTTTGAGGGTATCAGGTTGGAGAACCTGCCAGTAAAATGCCCCAAGCAGCATCATCGCTAGTTTGGCCATGTCAGCTGGTGTTGAGTACATTTGCCCTGAAGGTCTGTACCAGCCGAGGTCATAAAGAGGCGCGGGACGCCCGCTTGAGTAGACACCTACTGCCATCCGGTTCTTAATCTGTGGAGTGATTTCAAACCCAGTGTCCTCCATTCCCAATGGTTGCAGGATATTCTCAGTTACCCATCGCTGATAATCCATGCCAGCCACCTTCTCCGCCATCACATGGGCAAGCAGCGAGAAGGCCAGGTTGCTGTAGTGGCATCTGAGGACAGCAGAGGACTAGAATTACTTCCTCTAGGGAGAATCCACAAGTGAATTCATTGCATCCGCCCACATCTATTATTTAAACCTCTTCTCATTCATTAAACATCTTCTTAATACAAGTTTGAAGAGGAAAATATACTATCTTACTTGGTTCCGGGGTCGGCCACGAGAACATCATCTTGTAATAAATCCACTGCAGCTTGAGTGTTGCCTTTCCAGAGTAGTGTAGTCGCTCTGAGCCGCCTTGGTAAACCTGTAATATGAATGATCCAGATTTTGGTATGTATTTAATGCATCAGTTTTATTAAAAATGATGATCAAAAACAGAACTCAAATTATTATTTGCTTTTTTAAAGTCAGAGGTTTAGAACAACTAAGGTAATTTT